TTCCAAAACAAAAGTGGTCGAGGCCGGGGACCTCACAATTCTACCCGGTGTTGCCAAAGAAGAGAAAACCTGCTGGAAACCGGGTCCAGCGCCCCAAGACCACTCAGCCTCAAAAGGAAGAAGAACTCCTCAAAATAGCCTTGAAGCACAGAAAAACGGTGGCTGAACTAATCATAGCAGAAACTCTCCACTCCTTCAGCCTATAATGCAATATCCTTGCTGCACAGGAAAACGCCGGCATGTTTCTAGGATCGAAACACTATTGGCAAAGAACAACGAACTATAATCTGCAAATCTCGAAAAAGCACAAGGCAATTCACGAAAATTATACATACAGTTTAACCCTAAAATTATTTCCAAAGGCAAACTAAATTCTCAGATACAATTCAAATCTAAATTTCAGACCAAGCACTTACTAAATTTTAGACTGGGCATATTGTCTTGCATCTTCTTCAAAGTTCTTTTTGCTTTGCTATATTTGTTTGGGTTTGTTCTCCACTTAGAGAGGCAAGGGAGAGGTGTGTGTAGGGAGAGTGAGAAGGAGGATCGGGGTTGGGGATGTTACAGGGCCTGGTTGTAATTTTTTGCTTTGTGTTTCATGGACAGATCGGGTCAGGAGTGGGTGTGCTGACCAGTTGTCCTCAGATGTGGACTGTATGTTTTTCCAGTGTATGGGCATTGCCCCAACACTCTCGATTTGCAACCAAAATCTCAAAACGTTGTCGGACTCTTGAATTTGCTTTGGTGGCGTTGCTGCATATAGGGCATACTCAGGGCATACTCACACTAGCACGGACTTCCGCAAATTTTATGTATGTGAATTTGCGTTTATATGGCACCTGCGGGTCACTCTGGTCACCCGTTTGTTGCCCAAAGCAGAAAAGACAGGGTCGCTACCTGGCCTTGAGATGCGAAAATACGTTGTCTGCAGCCAGACAGCACAATGCACTTTTTTTTCTTTTTTTTTTGCTTCCAGAAAGCAGTAGAGAAAAAAGAAATACGATTTTGCGGGGACCTTTGGAGGTCCCCGCAAAATATCATTTAAATATGTAAGCCCGCGGCTGTCCAGGCCGCTGACATTTACGTGCCCTTTTGTGTGAACACGCAAAATACGTGCCTCTTGTGACCCGAAAAACTACATAAAATTTGCGATTTTGCAAAAATACGTGGTAGTGTGAGTGTGCCCTCACACTAGATCTTTTTTGCTTATTTCTGGACATAATTGCGGCCAGATGCATACAGGTTCGGCCGAAAATGTGGTCAGATGCATTTAAGGTAGTGCTAGTGTGAGTATGCCCATACTCTAGATTGGCCACACTCTCTCTTCTTCTTTCTTCCCCCCCCCTTTTTATCAACGTAAAACCTAGGCTACCAGCCGGGCCGCCCGGGTCCCGGGTGGCCAGCCCGTGCAAGGACCAAAAAAGGTCCCAGCAAAAAAAAAAAAAAAAAAAAAAAAAAAAAAAAAAAAAAAAAAACTATGTTATGCAGAAAAATAAACTGAACCAACTCTTGCCTCAGGGTTACATCGAAATTCTTCACCAAATTTAAAATAAAAATTAAATTTCAAAAAAATATATATTTTTTGGCCCGGCCGGGCAAGTGACCCCGGGCCACTCTGGTAGCCTAGCGTAAAACGCAAGAAACTTGAAAAAAAAAAGAAAAAGAAAAAAGAGGAAAGGAGTCTCCTCTCAATTTCACGTCTGTAGTGGATGGCCCCGGTGAGGAGTCGATTTTTGAGAGCACTGCAGGTAGAGCACTCTCGAAAAAAACGAGAGTGCTCTCTCCAAGGGGATGCTCTGACGACTCTTGATCAATTTTGGAGAGTGGAGACTTCTAGAGCATGTGGAGGGGCGCTCCACTATCGCAAAATTTTAAGGAACCAAGAGTAGTGGAGTGAGGCCGTATGTGCTTTTGAGCACTAGGTTCGTTGGAAATGGAATTTCATTTCCAAAAAAAAAAAAAAAAAAACGTAAATCTGCCATGTTCTGGCTATCTCCTGTTTCCTTCATTTTTTCCTTGATGAAAAAAATTAGATAAATTGCTTTGGATTTTGGTAAAAAAAATCAAAAATCGAAAATCAAAAAATTGTAAAATGACAACCAAAAGAATGCTACCTTAGCCCCTCCTTCCCTCTCTACCTGCCCCTACATGCCCCTACATGCCACTACATGACAGAACATCAGAGCTTAAACCACCAGTAGCTCTGACCCAAATTCACATGGATCCGCGTGGCGCACCGATTCAGCCACCGCGTTAACGGCCTAAGAACGTGGAGGTACTGGTGGTTTAACGTTGCACTTTCTGTCAAGTAAGTAATTGTTCCGTCCATATGTCACATGACAATGTTTAAACTTTAAACTTTAAACTTTGTTTTTTGTGCAGTTCAGGTTTTGAATTTTATGATGTGACACTCGAACTGTATTCGTTGCAACAGTGCAACTCATCGCTGTGTCTCTAAAATTGATCTAGAACACCGCTGTAGCCCATACGTCGCAAATTGGACCTCGTACGAATGCTTGTTTATTTCACAATCCATAAAAGGGTGGAGGGCAAAGGCAATTTACTTAAGACAGAGTATTCCACCAGCAAGACAGCACCGACCCCACCTGCCATAGGTACAAAAAAACTTGGAGAGCCCTCCTCTGTCTCTGTGCGTGTGTGTGTGTGTGTGTGTGTGTGTGTGTGTGTGTGTGTGTGTGTGCAGACTCTGCAGAGCCTTTCACTTCTAGTCTTCACAGCTCCCAACCTGTTCCCCAGCACCTTCCGGCTCTTATTGCCACGACTGTTCGTCGTCACTCCTGAGCCTCATCCCCATCTCTCGACCCACTCCCACACATTCTCCAAACCACCCTACCCATCCCCAGAACCCTTGCCACCGCTGTGCCAAACCTCCTGCTACGGTGCTACCCCTCTGTGCTTTCTCCCACCTCTTCTCCTGAATCCTGATCTCTCCTTCGCAAAAGTTCCCCTACATCTGCGAACCTCCCCATCCCCTCAATCCCCCTTCTTGATTCCTCCTCCCACTGATACTCGGAGCCTGAGAGGAAAAGGCTTGAGCTATTCGATCAATGGTGAAGTTCATGGATTCCGCCAACCAACACATCAACAGGGGGCAAGTGATAACCAATCCACTCCTGCCAATGGTAACGAGCTCGAGGGTAGAGGGTTTGCACAGGAGAATGTGTACAGAGTCTACAGACTGTCTGTGCAGGCATCACATCCAAGGGGTGGGACCTGGATGAACCAAAACATATTGGATTTCTTTTATTTATTTATTTTATTTTTTTTACATTTTTTTAATTTTTTGGTAATTTGGACCATTTCTCAATTGATGTGTGACATCCTTGCGCAGGGGCCATGCTAATCTTCTCTGTATAGTTCGAATTTTATCGGATGTCCCAAAAATTTTGAACACCGTCTCCGTTTTTTTCTTGGGAAATCTATATTATATTGTTATTAATTTATTATATATGGTTGACGACGGGGTTACCTGACCGAACGTTCGGGGGCCCCCGGGCTGGCCCCCGAACGTTCGGGCGTTCGGGGTCCCGTTCGGGGGCCGAACACCTCCAGGTTCGGCCCCCGCCAAAAAACAATTCGGGGCCTAAAAATAAGTTTTTTTTTCTGAATTGTTTTTTGTGATTTCTCTATGATGTAACCTACACGCCTATAAATTTTGAAGCCATTCCGCTAAGCCAAAAAAACATTAAAAATCGTCAAAGATGGGGGTGTCAAAACGTGCTCGCCCACTCACTATTTTGTTTTTTTCACTTTTAACTTTTTTTTTTCACTTTATTTCGGGGCCTAAAAAAAATTATTATTTTTTGAAAACTTTTTAACGAGTTATTGATTATGTAAACTACATATCTGTAAATTTTCAGGGCATTTGTCAATGCCAAAMAATAATTAAAAATCGGCAAAGATGGCGGTGTCGAAAAGGTGCTGGCACACTCACTCATTTTAATTCTCTTTTTATTTTTTCTTATTTTTATCATAGTGTTTATTTTCTGTATTTGATTTTTAATTCAAATTTGGTAAGGAATTTGGATGTAGTGCCCAGGCAAATGTTGTTTAGTGTATTTTTTTCCATAACATATTTGTTTTTCGGAATTGTTTGAAAACTTTGTTTCTGTTTTTGTTTTTTTTTTTGGTCCGCGTTCGGCCCGAACGGCCGAACGCCTTCCGAAGGGGTCCCGTACGTTCGGGCGTTTGGGTTCGGGCGTTCGGCCCGTCCCGAACGCCGGCAACCCTGGTTGACGATATATGCCATTGAAATTCACAAATCCCAACACCAAACTGTCCGTCTATATCTCTCAATAATGTCTGGAGATGGGATCAGAGGTGGTCTCTAAACCACCTCCGATCCCATCTCCAGATATTGCTCAGCATCCCCAACACACAAACTGCCTTCCACATCTTTTTTCAACAATGTCTATGCAGCACAGATGGCGTGTTTGCTCCATTACATCATCATTCAAAATACTCTCCCCCCAAAGTCTCCTTGTGTTATGGTTGGTCGGAGCTACGGTTGGCGCTCTTGTGTATTGATCGGTTGCTTCTGTCTGTCTTTTTTGTGTGGTGGACTATGGACATCCTCCCCAGGTCAACCCTCCATCGAGTTGTGAAAGGGGGCCAAGAGCGGTATTCAGTGAGTTGATATCGCGATACTTCCGCTGCTGTGCTTATTTATCCTATCCCTTACTTGCAACAAGATGGCAGTGCACGAACAAAACCGAATACGGCGAATAATAGCAATCAATTCGACAACTAAGATCAAGTGTAGTATCTGTTCTGATCAGTTTAATATCTGATCCGTGGTCCATCGGGGAAAAAAAAAGGTGTGACCGTTTGAAGTATATCATTCTGAAAATGTGAGTTAAAAAACAACAACAACGCTGCGTGTGTTGCTTCCTGGGGAGATACGAGCAACCCCCTGTAGCACCACGGTTTGCGGGTCCAGTCTATCTATTTGTGAGGATCATTACCTGCTGGGAAACGGGTCCAGCGTCCCTCAATGGCACAGTCAGATATACAGGCCTGTAGTTCCCTGCAGCATTGATTGCCCTGGGCGACCCCAGGGGATTCATTGGCCCCCCAGGCTGTGAAAAAAAAAAAAAAAAAAAAAAAGTGAAATGCAGCTAAAAAAACAGCTGAACTTAGACAATCATCATGCAAGGCGGCGGTATTGGTTACCTTGCCCTCAACAAGGGATATCCAGTATTATCCACAGTTCCACCATCGATCCACAAATCGTCTGTTGGGATGCGGGCCCGTCATACCCTTGGCTGCTGTTTGTGCCACAGCATTCATGTTCTGCCCCTGGGCCCTGGCCCCAAACAGGGTGCTCCAGTCGCCCCCTGTGGACCAAGAAGCTTCCTCGCCCCCCCCCCTACCGGGACTTTCTGCCCTCAATAAGGACTAGCACAGGCTTAAGCTTGCCAGCTCTTGTCGCTCCAGCGGAATGCCGTCTGTCGTTGGCGTCTTGTTTACTTGCTGTTGTAGCACCCGGGTGCGAGACCCAGTTGTCCGGGTTGCGTCAATAACACTTCCCACCATCCGTGACTCCTCCACTCTCGCCGTGCTGTTCTTCATTGTTCGTTCTGAGTGCCTCGGGCGAGTTAACGCCGTGGTAAGAAAAGAACCTATTCTGAAGTAGTGTAAGCTTCGCAAGCCGAACGTTATGAGTACTGAGTCTACTGACCAACTGCTTGTCAGGGGGGTTAACTCATGTGGTTACTAGAGCTTGATTGCCTTTGCGATCTGTGCCATCATGATGATTGAACAACCTTCAAGTTGCAGCTCTCTGGCTTCAGAGTCGGACCGCTTGCCGGGGCTGGTCGACGACTCAAGGGAGGTCCCGACGAGTTTGAACTGGAGTGCGATACGATAGAGGAGGGCGCCCACCCACCCTGTTTAACCAGTCAATCTTGAATGCTTGGCAACCCGGCGGCTGTATTTTTGACGGTCGAGTCAATCTTGTCTTGTCGCCTTTGTCACACTCTCACTTTTTCATCTCCTGCTGGTTCTCACCATTCAGAAGGGGGCCGGCATCACTCATGGCCGGTCGAGGCACAGAGTATTGTTGGCGGTGTGGGAACTTGTTGGGACGAAGGTGTCATCTTGGTCGGTGGACCTCTTGGCCATTTAAACTTCAACTTCGGCCACTCTACCTGACAATTTCCCCCTTTTTTTTTGTCGGAGGCTTGGAGCCCAGTGTTGCTTTTAGGTGAACTACTGCATCCAACCAGTATCGTACCCTAGCTGGATGCAGACCAAGCGAGCTACAAAGTAACCTGGAAAAGAACACTGGGTACCATACTGGTTGGGCACGATCGGGTGGTGCCATTAGCTTCGGCTGGTGTGCAAATTTGTCTTCATTGTGTGGTGGCTTTGTCTACTTCGATTGTGCATGTGTGTGACCGGGTACACCGGATCACGGGGAAAAAACGAGTACCCGTGTTGGGGTGGGGTTAAGTGCTCATCTTGGGGCTTAACTTTCACCCCGGTCCACTTTACTGTTTGGTTGAGTGTTTGCCTCCGGATGGGGAGGTCACGTGTTCGATCCTTGAACAGTGCGGACTTATAAAAAAAATGTATTTACAAAAACCATACTGGTTGGATGCAGTTGTCTTGTTTCTTTTCCAGGTTAGACTTTGTAGCTCGCTTGGTCTGCATCCAACCAGTATGGTACCCTTTTTTTTTTTTTTTTTTTTTCAAACAAACGCCCCCACCAGTGTTACCGGTGCTGATAAGAGCAGACACCACTAACACCTGGGGAGAGGCTCCATCTATTGGTGGGGAGCATCACCTGCTGGACAACGGGTCCAGCGGCCCAAATTCAAGCAGTATGGTACCCTGCTTTTTTCCAACTCTTGCAGAAAGCTTTCCCATGTTATGGGGGACGGAGATCTTGTTCGTTCGATTGTTAGCTGCCACCCACGTTCCATATCACCCATAACGAATATGGGGGCCACTTTAATGTGGATGTCATTAAATGGCCCCCTTTGGTACGAGTACTGTTACGGGTGGCCATGTACTGAGTATGTTGGCACCCTTTGGAACAAACAACTGCGCTCCCAACCCATGTGTTCAAGTCAGGCCTTCGGCTTCGCCCACTTCATGTCCTGAGGTTGCCTGGAAGTCCACGGGGCGGAGGGTAGCGCAAGACCGGTGAGCCTCTTGAGGTCATCTCCCGGGAAGGGTTCGTCGGTGATAGTTCCTAGAAGAAGGCGGGGCTGTTTTGAGCCAGAATTCCCTTGGCACTGCCACGTATTGTCCAACTGTGGTGGAAGTCAATCAATCAGCTCACCTGTTTTTGAAACAACCGCGTCACTGAGACCATACGCACACAACCACTTTCCTCAATGTATCTGACTTTAATGATGGCCAGACCTGGATGATGCACCTGATCGCAATCGCATCCAGAGCTCATTCAAAAAGTCCTACCGGTAGTGTTAGTATGCCCTGAGTTGCACAATAGAGAGTACTGCCAAGCTGTTATGGCATTGGTGTTCAGTAATGCCGCCGGACTGTCAGCAATTGGATGGTAAATGTAAAATTTGGGATGAGTTTTGTTGCCGAAATGAACTGAATCACAACGAGTTTCGTCGCAATTGCATTCAATGGGGACGAGTTTCCTCGAAGTGATCTGAATCGGGAGGAGGAGTTTCGTCAAAATGTATTGAGCCGGGATCGTTCAGTTTTTTTAACTTTTTTCAACATAATTTGTTTGTGATCATTATTTGGTAACTTTTCCAATCTCGCCCAGTGCCTTCTTTCGCCGCTCCTTGCCCCTCTGCCGATACTTTGACAACCGTTCTTAAACCACCATCGGTACACCCGGGTCCGGAAGCGCACAACCGTTCTTAAACCACCATCAGTACACCCGGGTCCGGAAGCGCGCTGCACTGTGCGCCAAGCTTTTCCAAACCACGATACTTT